GATGTATTAGATACAGTATAAGCAGTACATCTTGATAAAAGATGCCCATCACCAAAGAAAGAATAAGACTTTATTATTTTACATCCAAGTTCATTGCACTAAAAATGAAACAGTAAAAATACTTTATTATTGATATACAGCTAATTATGGATTATAATAATCATCACAAAGCTCATACAGTAGTATACAGCATTAATCTACAGGTGTAATTACAGTTGTAATCGATTAGGTGAGCCTTAGACAGGCCAGGATTGAGTACAAGAAGTCCCCATTGATGGTGAAAGATGGACAGCCACTCAAAGACATTAGGAAAGACAGTCCATTGATATTCCTTGATTAGCACTGTGTCAATTGGCCATTATCCTTAACCACGCCCACCAATCAACTCAGACCTCCTCAGCTCGAGCAGCTTTCAGGATGGCCCATTCATTTATACAGGGGGATCTGCGCATGCGCAGTAAAAATATCGGGAACACCCTTAACCACGCCCACTAATCAACTCAGACCTCCTCAGCTCGAGCAGTTTTCAGGTTGGCCCATTCATTTATACAGGGGATCTGCGCATGCGCAGTAAAAAATACCGGGAAAAGTTTACACACCACACAGTAATTACTAATTAAACAACAGCTAAATATCTCAGTATAATTATTATACAGAAATGTTGTACAATTGAAAAGATATGAATATAAGCTGTCCTATCTTGGTAAAAGATGATCTATCTCCTTGAGAAGGAGTAAGACTTCATTAGTGTACATCAAAGTCCATCTCACTATAAATAGAACAGTAAAAACACTAATATACAGCAGTTAAAACAGCATTGTACTGTATTTTAAACAGTACTTTACCTAATTGTACACGTTCAGTAATACAGTAAAACTCACAAGCTTATACAGTAGTTATACATACACAATACAGTATTGATCTATAGTGTATTTACCTCGGTAACTACAGTTGTAATGGATAAGGTAAGCCTCGGACAGGCCAGGATTGAGTACAACTCCCCAATGATAGTGAAAGATGTCCCGTCGCCCAAAGACATCAAGAAAAAAATCCTTTAATATTTTAAGTCCCAGCCAGGGTCACAAAAATAAGCCAGACATCTTCACTACAATGTAGGATGGGCCATAATCATTAACCACACCTACCAATTAACTCAGACCTCCTCAGCTCGAGCAGCTTTAAGGTTGGCCCATTCATTTATACAGGAGGATCTGCGCATGCGCAGTAGACAATACCGGGAACACCCACTAACAATCAGTTCAAACATGGTACAAATATACTGCATCTTTAAAAAAATCATAAAAAATCGAAACTTAATGGGAATCAGCTCCACTTCTGTACACTACATAAGTACATGTATATGCATCAGAAAATGTAATAACATTCAGGAATTTTTCATTTGTCAA